CGTTTAAGAGAAAATAAGTACGAAGGCCTAAAATATGAAAAACAAAAACAAACAAAGCTTTTGCCGCAATTGTTGTTCCGTGGGGTTGAGCTTAAAATTCTAATCATCGACACCAATTGTCCGTCATAGGAAAAAACTTAACGAAAAGGAATTGATTACTTGCTTTCCCATTGACATCACGATTAAACTACCATAAGAAAATAAAACAAACATCAATTAGGGCTCAGAAGCTAGCAAGAGACATGGGCTCTAAATTTTATTCCTATCAGATTTTTCCTCATTGGTTTTGCAGCCTTCCCTGATATCCAGAATTTGCCAGTATTTTTCATTATTGACTGAAACCTTTTTCAAGAAGCCATCTGTTCACCAACAATAGATGCAGTAAAATAATTATGAATTAACTGAACTAGACTGAACCTTCCGATTGACAACCTTCAGTCTTACCATGCTTCAATAAGCGTTCACTCGCAGCAAACAGCAAACAACGTCAGTGATGAGACGGCGAAAAACAGTTCCAACCTTAGTATGTGTACTTTTATCCACGCACGGATGTGCCTATCTTATGATTAAACATTTTCTTTTTTCTTATTACCGACTCACTGTAAGTTAATCGATTACATGTCTGGCCACTTTTACCCAGTCTTTGTAAATCACTTCATGTGCAATTCTTCTACTGCAAATTATTAAGCAGAAAGCGAAATATTCGGCTTTTGAATAAAGCAACGATGATAATTAAAATCAAATGCAATTTGTTCATCACAAGACTCCCAGCTGCTTTATAAACAATGTTAGTCCCACACAATCGTTATTGTAATTTAGTTGGAGTATCAAGCCATTAAGCAAATCTTGAATTTGTGATCGTGCGAAAAGTGTTATCAGGATGATTAGAAAGTGTGCATGTGATGTTAATACCGGTTCTATTTTCAAGAGACTTTCCGAAATTTCACATTAACATTCATTTGGCACAGCTAGGTCAGTTGATGTTCTCATCGAAAAATATCTATTCTCCCTCAAAAATTTGAAAATGTTTACATGAGTAACAACCAAACCCGTAGCTACAGTGCAAGGCACGCAAAGTCCTTTTGTCTACCATTATGTAGAACAAATATTCGGCAATTTTCCGTTTCCCATCAAGGTTCAAAGCTTTTTAGCTCTGTCACACCTGAAATCACTGGCCATTCATCTCTAACATCCGTGGCAAAAAATTAAATAGATAAATACAATAAGATAAAAAAAAAAAACTATCAACAACAATTATGAACTCTGCTATTTAATATTTTATCAAAAGGCCGTCCGGCCCCGCTTGCGCAATCCCACAG